CCCCAAAACCCCAAAACCCCAAAACCCCAAAAATCTAATAGTTGATCTATAATGTTAAAAAATAGTGATAAATTTTTAATCCTAATTGCTATAAGATTTGTTTATTAATAATAATATCAACATTTAATTAGGAATTCCATATATATTTTCTGCCCTTGAGTTTGCTTTTTCCTTATATCATTGATATTCTTAGAATAATTTCTTAAAGTAATAGGTTCCGTATACTCACTTCATTTTATTCTAAAATTAGATTAAATGAAAGATATGAAATTACCTCAATCAATCATCACTATCTTAATCAGAACAATTTTCTTGAGAAGAATTTTCATCTTTTTCATATGAGAAATTTTGGTTTGTAGGAGCAGCTTATTGATAAACTTCCATTGCCTTGTATTCTGTCTGACCTGGTAACTACTAGATCATTGGTTGACTAATGACTTATTCTTCGGTCTAACCAATCTAATGCATTTGCTACTAAAATGGCATTTATTAAGGCTATTCATTCATATAATGTTGTATTGGCATTACCTATTTCTGCATCAAAGTTTGGCTGGATCCCCCCATTAGAGGATTTTGATATTGTTGGGATGGTTAAATTTGCTATTTTTCTTAATTTATCTTATTGCAACTCTTAACATAGGCATCAAGCTCTCTGCATTTTCTGATAGGCAATTAATCAAGCTCAAACTCAAATACTTCATCGGCATTTTTGTTAATGGTATCTTTAATAAGATCTATTATCCCTCTCTATTGTTCAGGGGTTAATCGGACTATCAAATACTTTAATAAATCTTTTTCCTCAGGATTCAACGGTCTATCATTGTGATTCTGATAAGAGTTTGCCGTTACTAAGTCCATCTTGCTTTGGCTTTGATCATGCTCTGTATTAAGATAACTATCCTAGCATGAGTCATACTATATTTCTTCTGAATTAACCTTCATTTCCTCGTGATGAAGATGATGCTTATTGATTTGATTACTATAATCTTCATTTATAGACTATTATATTCCTATTTAATTCCCTATGATACTATCTACATTGTGAATCAAACCAGCTTCATCATTACTAGGTTTATCTGCGGCAGATTCATTCTCATAGGTGAGATTTTGATTAGTGTTCACTTAAGAATTATCGGATGAGGTTTGGCAGTTTTTGGACATCTTATCAATATATAAAATGTAATTTATAGAGTCTATCCCAAACCAAAATAATAATTAGCAAAATATACTATATGATCATAAAAAATAAAATCTACTTCATGGGGTTTTGGGGTTTTGGGGTTTTGGGG